TATCTTTGCCATTCTATGTGGCTACCATGCTTTCTATATTCTATGCAGAATCTAAGACCATTGTACCTAGCACAGAAGTTTGCCTTCTTATTTGTAACCACCACGATTCAATACATAGTAATTTAGCATCAGCAAAAGAAATTACCTGCAATATGTTTTTTTTCAAGCTGGAAGATACAGAACTAAATATGTAATGTCATATTCCAAATATCTCCCCAGCAACCCTCCCCCTAAAATGTCACTGTTAGCACATGGTCACCAGATCATCATTGGCTAACTTTCCTAAAGAGGCACATTCAAGTGCACCCCAGCGCCATATCCACACAATCACAAGGCACCAAAGGAATCAATGTGGACACGTGGACGTTTCCAGGTGGTTGAAAATGCAAAGAATTTGGAGCTTCTGCAATTTTCCCTATTAATCAGGTCAGGCATTTGACACTTGAGGTGGCAAAAAATTGTTTTAATGGCAACATCCCCTTTCCCGCCTTGCCAATTACCCCACCATGGCATTCCTGTGTTCACACAGGCCACAGCTGCTTAATCTTAGTGGCCCCAGGCTCCACCTGTGAATCAGACCAGCCTAATCACACTAACAGATGGCAGAGGCCAAGTAGCCAGCTAAGAACTGCTATCACTTTAAATAGCATCTAATGTTTCACAGGCACCAAACAGAGGCACCTCCCGACAGCAGTATCTCCCCAGTACAGCTAACACTAGTCCTTAATCACTGCAGAGCACTCATTTCGGGACAGAGCTGGTGTCATTCGAGAGCTAATTACAAAAAGCCCTGCTTGAGAGGTGAAAGCATGGCAAATGCACTACGGGTTGGCAATGGTGACACGTACACAGCTCCTTTCAGCCTGGCCCTGCGATATGGTACAGGGCAGTCAGGCCGGTGGCCACCATGCAAACCCAGAGTGCACTACCGACCAGCTTCTGAGTCAGCAGAGAGCGATGCCTTCCACTCAGCCCAGTGGGTACATAACCTATACCTGCTGTGCATGCCATCATTTATTGTGGGTTCTCCATGATGTGTTCCCAGGCAGGGCACATGACCACCAGGACAGCCAAACCAAGGACAATGGCACCCACATGCGTCACTTAAGAGCTATAAACAACTACGCAAACATTCGAATTCTGCCCCTTGCATGACCCGGGGACACCCATAGGCAATGGGCCTGACGCACAGCTCTGCCTTGGGTCACTGAGTCACAGTTTTCAGCGTAACTGCTCTGCCCACCTGCCCAGGTGACTGGAGGTGTGCATGAGCCAGCAGGCAGCACAGTCTGTCAGAACAGGTTCTCAACTTCTCTGCCTCCAGCTTCGAGCCAGAGCCAAAGAAAAAAGATGTAAGGAGCATGCTCTGCCGTATGAGTGTTTAATCATTATCCACAGGAATAGCCTCTTCAGAAGGCTGGCTCAAAGCACAGAAAACACATACACTCACCTCATCTCTCGCTGTTTAACAGACGAGAGAGGTAATGGTAAACTCCCACTCAGGGAGGACCTTGCATGTCCTTGAGTCATAGTGTGAGTGGTTCTCGTACTTCAGTTACTCCAGTTTCTGCTCAGTGGGTCTGAGAACTGTAATTTCTAACAAGTTTCCAGGTGATAACGATGCAGTCCACCTAGAGGCAGCGCTTTGGCAAGTTACTGCTTCTTCTTTTTCTACCTAAATCAAAATATTTCTATTTTTGCCCAGGCTACTAAGAGACTTGGGGACAGATGTGTCTTTAACACAGTTATCCCAGGTGCCTAATAGCATGTATCGTCTCTCCTAAGCAACAATAATGTAAATGGAGGCAGGTGATTTAGAGATGGAGGTAGGAGGGTGGGTGAGAAGGAGAGGGGAAAGGGGAATAAAAAAGAATGGAGACATGTTAAGTGCATGTTCCTGCTCCCTAAGATGTAAACTTCACATATACCAATGTGCACTAATTTTCTTTTTCTCTTTTTTGGTACTGGGGATCGAATTCATGACCTTGCACTTGCCAGGCAGGCTCTTACATTGGCTGAGCTAAATCCCCGGCCCTTGTGTATATATATACATACATATATGTGTATATATGTATATATATACACATATATGTATATATACACATATATGTATATATACATATATATATGTATATATACATATACATATTTTTTTTTAAGCCCTGGGACTAAATAATGTTCCACAAATGATGCAGAAGCATCTGGACATCCAAAAATTACCAAAAAAAAAAAAAAATCTAGATATAGAACCTACAAAAATTAACTTAAAATTGACCACGATTGTAATCTAATGCAAAACAAAAAACTGTAACACTTCTCTGAGTCAACACAGAGGTGACCTTGGGTTTGCTGAAGTCTTTTCAGATGTGATACCAAGGGCACAACCCATGAAAGAACTCATAAGCTAGACTTGATATAAATCAAAAATTTTGCTCTGTGAGAGACACTGTCAAAAAAAAAAAAAAAATGAAATGAAAAGACAAGCCACAGGCCAGAGGAAATATTTTCCAAAAACAAAAGACTGTATCCAAAATATACAAAGAACTCTTACAATTCAATAATAAGAACACAACCCACTTAACAACTGAGCCAAAGAATACCTCACCAAAGAATACATACAATATGACTGACTTGTTAATGCAATCAAGCAGATAAAAAGAGCATTTTACTCACCCATCAAGAGGGAAATGCAAATTAAAACAAGGAGATATGACTACACACCCACTATAATGGCCAAACTCCAGAACACTGACAACACCAAATACTGGTGAGGACAAGAAGCCATAGGTACTTACTCATTGCTGGCAGGAATGCAAAATTATATGGCTACTAGGGAAAGCAAGTTGGTGGCTTCCTACAAATCCTAACATACTCTTTTCGTATAACTAACTGCACACTCCTTGGAATTTGCCCAAGAGTACAAAACGTACATCTAAACAAAAACCTGTACACAGATGTTTGCAGCTGCTTTATTCACACCTTTAAAGTAGGTAAATTGTGGTACATTCAGACCATGGAATAGTACTGAGACTAACAACAAATAAGCTCTCATGAAAGACAAAGAGGGAACTTAAATACATACTACTAAAGAGAAGAAGCCAATCTGAAAAGGCTACATCGCCTGTAAGTCCAACTCTATGATATTCTAGAAGGCAAAACTCAAGACAGTAAATAGATCAGTGGTTGCCAAGGTTTGATAAGGAAGAAGACATGAATAAGTGGAGCACAGGAGATTTGCAGGACAGTGAGAACTGCTCTGTACAGTATTACAGTAGCGGCTACAGGTCATGATACATTCGCCCAAACCCACAGGAAGTACACCACCAAGAATAACCCAGTGTTAACGATGAAGTTTGAGCGGGTACCCCGTGGGAACATAGATTCATCACCTGTAGCAGACATTCCACAGCCAGCTGAGGACTGACAATGAGAGAGGCTGCCCATGTATGAGGGCGCCAGGCAATGGGAAATCTCCATACCTTGCCTTCAGTTTTGCTATAAACCTGGAACCAATCTTTAAATGTTTATTTTAAAAGCTCTGTGCCTATTTTTCTTTTTTTTTTCATTTATTTATTTTCTTTGGTACTGGTGATCGAACTCACGACCTCACGCTTGCCAGGCGGGTGCTTATGCCGCTGAGCTAAATCCACAGCCACTCTGTGCCTATTTTAATAACTAATGTAGACCTTGTTTAAATGTCCCTAACAGATAAAAATTCTTTTGAGAAAATGTAGAATATGCCACACAAGCACAGAACTCCAGTGATCAATGTGCCATCTCTGCAGGAAAATTCAAGTCATGTCATTGGTGAATGTGACCAAAGCTGTATTTTATTTTCTTTATGGAGCAAGCATGCATGAGCACTCTGACTACTGTACAAATATTAACTCAGTTAATCCCCCTAACAATTCAGAAAGTATTATTACTGTTCCTGTCTTACAGTTTAGGAAACAAAAGTGATAAAATAAGGATAAAAGAGGGTAGGCAAAACTGAAAGAAAAGGAAAGGAAAAAAATGAGGAAAGAAAGATAAAATGGAAACAAAGCTTTGTAAATAAGGAGGGAGAAAGGGGTTGACGGGAGGGGAAAGGAATGGGGGGAAAAAAGAGATACCAAGCTATACCACATACAGGCACAAATTCCCTATGATGAATGTGATTAATATGTATATCAAAATTGTACCAATAAACAATAATAATAATAGTGATAAAAAGAAACTAACACAGAAGTTAAATGAGCAACTGGGAAGTGGTAAAGTAGGACTCAAACCCAGGCTGCCCAGCTCCAACAGGCTAGCCACTTTCCTACCCACCAAGGGAACAGCCTCCCAAATGTTAGTACTCAGTAGTAACAAACTGCTTCAAGATAAACAAACAACCCTTAGGCCCCTCCCCATTCCTGTCTACAGGCAAGGAATACGCTCCTTATTTCTGCTTAAACAGGGCACATGTTTTAGAAGCCAGGTTTCCTCAGTTTCGGCTGACCTTTTAGACAAGATCATCTCATCCCAAAAGCTAAGCAGTTCACTGTAAGATGCTGTATTTACCAGCAGCACTCCTGGGCTGTGCCTGTGAGACTTCACTGGTACCCTTCCCAAATGTGACGACCAGTCATTGTCAAATGTGCTAGAGGAACGGAGGTCGGCAATCAACCACCGTCAGGAACCACTGGGTTAAACCAAGCACAGTGAGTAGCTAGGAAGAAAACCAGGATGGCACACGGTCCTACCAGGGTTAGTCTCCAAACACTGAAAAACCAAAGAGAAAAAGGAAAACCCAGGAGAGAAAAGTAGTAATTGGTTTGAACAGAGTGACACAAGAAAAGACAAGCAGTAGAAAAGGATGCACAGCAGCACTGGTTTATTCATCAGTTTCAAAGTTGGGACAGGAGAGACAGGGTGGACAGCAGGGCCACAGGATATGGAAAGGCACCGAAGAGTTGACAGGAAGACAGGTGACAGCCTGGACTCTTGGAGACCTTCAGAGGTGGGCGGCTACTTACTCTTGTTGTTACTGTTCTCACTGACAAAATCTTCAGAGCCATCTGTGTCGTCCTCGTCATCTCCGGATGAGATGGCATCTGCATACAAAAGAACATAGCCATGGATGCATTTTTGCAAAGTCAAAGTTTGCGATTATCTAGAACTAAGCCAGCCATGCCCCACAGTGAATTTAGCAACCCAGGAACCCACAAGGAAAGTCTCAGACCATGTTTAGCTAAGATGGTTTTAATGGCTTAAAGTGTCTCTCTGTGATGACAGTTGGTCTCTATTATGATTCTCAGTGTTTTCTGTTTTCCCATTATTTAAACATGCTATAAAATTGGATACACTGGAACTAGATTCTAGGCTTCAAACAGATTCAAGTCTCCAACAAATTTACTGTCTGTGTAATAGTCAAAAAAAATTTTTCCCAATAAAACTTTTCAGCATTTGGATCCCCTTCAAGAACAGAATTAGTCCTTCACAAGACCTAGTTCCTTTGTGGTCTTTCTGATAGTCACCTAGTGACCTAAAAGCAGAACTTTAAAATCCTCACTAAGGAAGTGTTTGGTCCTTTCACTACATGGGAGGAAAGCTGAGGAGAAACTCAAATTTTAATAAAGGAGTCAGAAATCTGGAGCTTTCAAATTTCAATCCTATATTCTAAATGCCAAAGATATTGGTGACATGGAAGGAAAAAAAAAAAAAGATTCTGATTTTACATAAAAAAGTGCTCTGTCTTAAAAAAGACAACGCTACTTTGCACATGAGATCTCCATCATTGGTAATGATCAGCTTCTCTGGTGCTTCAGATTCCACGGGAGAATTTCAAATTAGATCAGGATTAGCTAGGTGCATAGTAACACCTACAGTCCTGGCTAGTTGGTAGACTGAGACAGAAGGATCACTTGAGCACAGGAGTTTGGGGTCCATGTAGCAAAACAGCAACACCCCATTTTTAAAATAATTAAAAATAATGAAGATCAATAACAAACTCTGAGGCTATGTGTCTCACAGCCAAGTGGCACGTCTCACTATGATTTCACTTGGCTGAAAAAAATTCTACCCAGAAAATGACTACAGAGAAGAGAGAGCATAACACTCGCAGGCCAACTCACCTGTGACATTCACCATGAAGTACCAAGTCTCACTGTCTACAGTCCTAGAGGCAGTACAAGCATAGAGGCCGGAGTCTCTAGGTGTGGCGCCTTTTATCTGCAAGTATTCCCCAATAAGCACTGTCCTATTGTTGGGCCCCAAGTGTACCCCATCCTTAGTCCAACTGATCACGGTGGCATCTTTCAACAGGCAGCGCAATTCTAGCGACTCCCCTGGCGCAGCCACGTAAACTTCTGGTTGAGAGATTTGGTATTTGGTTGGTGGCTCTGCAGAAAGGTGGGAGAGAGAAGACAGAGACAGATGGGAAGGAGGGAGAGGAGAGAATGTCCAACAAAGGTCAGTGGAGGCCCATTCATTTCCAGGCGAAGCTGTTCTAGTTTTAGAACTAGGAGGCATCTATCTCCCCCTGCACCCCAGGATGCCAGGATACAGCTCTCACTTACAGGGTAGATTTGAGCACCACAACAGCCACCAGAGGAAGCACACTCAAAACTTGCCCTACCTCGGTGTTCACATACTGTACTGCTTTAAAATCAAACTGAAACCCAGCGAGGAAGGACATTCCGCAAGCAAATATTTAAATCAATTGCCAAACCAAAGACTTCTTACACTGTAACACCTGGGAAATCCCACAAACATGGAACTTTTGATTCATAAAAACATTCAGTCTTACCAATGTATTCACTCACCATGAACATACATGTGTACCTCACACGGACTTTTATTTATCTAATTATCAGCAGTATATTTGATCTGTTTTCACAAAGTCAAATTGCTTAAAATGAAATGTCTCAAATACAAGGGAATAGAATGAATCCTTCCATGAGCTGTTTTGTTTAAGACTGGAGAATTTTTTTACTTTTTATTTTTTGGTACCAGTCATTGAACTCATGACTTCGCACTTGCCAGGCAGGTGCTTATACCACTGAGCTAAATCTCTGGCCCCACCACGAGCTGTTTTGCTGTCAGTTTTCATGAGCACTCAGGATTAGATCAGTATTGTGCTGTTCAAGAGACTTAATTCTGTGCTGGGTGAGCTGGGATATGCTGTTTTGTTTTTTCTTTCAAAATAATAAAAATCTAGAGGCCCTAATACCAATAAACAAACAACAAAAACAAGAAAGAAAAAAAAAAAAGAACAGCAAAATGCCGTGACACCAGAGTAGTAGTCTCCCCTGTGTGCAAACGTATCTTGTAAAAACACCAAGTGCTACACAACCCTCACTCCACAAAACAAGGCCAGCACCACCTGCCCAAACCCACCACACACATCCAGCGATCTTCAGCCTCCTCTGTATCCTGTGCCTTTCTTGTCTCTACCCTTTGTTCTGCTCTTTCCTGCAGAAACTAACTCATCCTTTGAGACTCAAATCCAGCAGTGCCATCCATGAGGAGCAACCCTGCATCAGTCACCTGGCCAGAAGTGACTGACCTCAGCCTACGATTGCCTGCTTCCCCAGCTCTAGGACATACATATTTCTTTGAGTGTGTCCTGTCTCCCCAAGGAATCACCAAGTTCCCCAAATAATGGCTCAGAGGATCTTTGAGGGTCTTGAGGGTCTTTGTGTCCCCCTACCTCCATCCCAGGGCATACTCAGCACACAAGGAAAGGTGGGCACTGTGAATATCATCACCATCCCCAAACATGCAGGGCAGGATGGGAACCAAAAAGATCCAGCCCACACAACTGTGCCATTGGCCTTTAAGAACAGCCAGAGCTGCTGGCTAGCGTGTCCACAACAGTCTGTGAAATACACTTTCATCTCCACAGGGAGAGCCCTGAATGGTACGCGGAGTGTCAGACCCAGAAAACACAAAGCTTCCTTCCTAGAACTGGGCTGGCTCCAAATCTGGGCAGCATCACAAGGCAATTGTTTTGCCCAGAGTCCCCTCAAAGGACAAATTACTCATATGATTCAAATCAAGTCAATTCAAGTTCTGGTCCCACTGTTTAAGTAGCATCTGGCCCAAGAAATCCCGCCCCTCACTACCAGCCAGCACAGGGGTCCCAGGACACGCAAAGGGCACCCCTCCAAAGACACACAGTCCAAGAGCGAGCTGTTAAGCAGTGCACAGACACAGAGAGATAACCACACAAAATAAAATAGGAACGGACTGAACACCGACAGATACACTCACAAAACAAGGAGTACAAGAAGGTCCCAACTGGCAGGCAGGTTATGTTCCAACTATTTATTCAACACCTACCACAGGCAAGCCTTTGCGCTGGACCCTTGGGAATCAACAGGAGATAAGACACAGTCCCTGTCCTTGTGGAGTTTCCACTGTGGTGGGGGTTACTGAAAATCATAGAAAATCTACAAAATACAAAATGTGTGAGGGATCTTAAGTAGAAGGAAGACGAACAAAGCAAGACAGGGACCCACCCAGAAATGGTGGGCGAGGGCTTAGTCCATAGCAGGAGCTGGCAAACCAGGAGCTGGCAAACCGTGGCCCAGGGGCCAAACCAGCTGCAGCTTGCTTTTGTAAATAGTTTTCTTGGCACACTGCCATGCTCATTCACTTCTGTATTGTCTGGGGCTGCTTTTGCGTTTTCAGGGCAGAGTTGAGTAGTTGCAACAGAGACCCTGTGGCCTGCAAATGTCTGCAGTCTTGCCTTTAGGAAGCTTTCTGCCCTCATGGTATTAGACAATCACAGAAGGCTCTTCTCTTAACTCAACAATTTCAGCTAAGAAGTGAAGGCAAAAATAAAGTTTAAAAAAATATTGAGCACTTGATTGAAGACTATCAGATCAGGTCTCACATGAGGAGGCAGCCAAATTGAGTGACTAACAGAAATAGTTTGAACTCTGCGTTGTAAAAAGAAGAGAGAATGGAAGAGAAATATAGATGGAAAGGAAAGAGAATTTGGTTTGGCCCCAAATCTCAGGCCATTTGCCACTCCACTCCCAGCATCCTAGAGTCACTGATCCATTCATACAACATTACAATGGACAGAGCCCCAGAGGCTACTCAGACCAATCTCTTTCAGCTGCCAAAAGCAAGGATCTATGTCATCTGGCTCCCATGTCTTCAATAACTGAGACAGCACCTGCAATGTTAGAAAGAATTTACATTGGATCATCCTTGGTCATAAATAATCAGTATTTATTATGACCACATCACATGATCAGCAAGTCATCAAGAATGTTCTGGAATTTGTTTTCCTCTGCCCAACTGATCATCAAGGATTATAGAGCAAGGAAGCAGCTGGACTGAAGCAGCAAAGCTTCCTTCCCTGAAAGGGGAGATGCCTGGGATCCTCCCAGCCCATCTGCTTCTGTCCTGCCCCTATGGTAAACAGAAGCCATGTCTCTACCAGTGATGGTGAACCTTTTAGAGTTTTCAATGATACAAACTGCCCACTGTGGCATGCATGCCACAGGTTCCCCACCACTACCCTGTACCATGCAGCAAAATGGTCTTAAATTACATTAGGAAAAAAAGAGAGCATGAAGCAAACCACTTACAACTTTGATGCAGAAATCTCTCTCTCCTGACAAAGGTAAAAGAACTCCATTTTTAAAGGTAAGTGTTTTCACTGAGAATTCCTTTCTTCATAGGAAATCAATGAAACACAACGTGCTGCAGAAACAGTGTATCTGAGTTGCTGGATCAATGCCACCAAAAATACACCACTATCTGCCAGTTGAACCAGCAGGAGTACAGGATGGTAAAGAATCATGGACAGGAGTTGTGACACGTTCAGGGTTAGACACAAATGTTTAGCAATGAGGCACTGCCCTAAATGTAAGAGGGCAATGCCCCTAGCTTAAAGGTCCTTTCCATCCTACCTAAACTCTCAACTGCAGGTGCCTCAAATGGTAAAAGAACAGAAATAACCAAACATTTTCAAGTATTATTTGTGAGGTTCTAAAGAGTCAAACAACGTGAACTTGATCTTCCAACATTGCCCATTCAGTCAGTGATAGTTACTGTTCCATGATTCTCCAAAGCTAAAGATGTTCACCATGACTTTGAGCACCACCATGGTCAGCAGACAGAGGGCATCTCAATATACAAGACATTTTACTTCTGTTTTAAAATCCAGTCTCATAAGACAGTGACAATGACCTGATGAATTAAAAACAGATCTTGTTTCCAGTGAAACCAATCAAAACTGTCACCCAGGGCTGGAGGTTTAGCTCAGCAGCATAAGCACCTGCCTGGCAAGCACAAGGTCATGAGTTCAATCCCTGGTACCAAAAAAAAAAAAACTATCATCCAATTTCCCAGTGCAATGATGAGCTTTAAGGAGAGTACAGTATCTTCCCCAAATGCATCAGTAAAATAATGATGTTTGTCCATAAAAATCGAGGCATCCCAATTTCAAAGTCTCCAATCAACAAACTTGGTAAAGTGCTTCAGGAAGCACAGAAACTCTTCTCTCCTGGATGGTCATTTCACAAAAGACCCTGCTTGGGGATAAGTAGCATCTATAGTACATAACACAGCCACACACATCCCTGTCTGTCATCAAAGTCTTAAAGCACGTGCTAGGGAGAAGGGAAAAAGGGGTGAATAGAAGCAAAAGAACAGGAAGCAAGGAGGGAATAGGGTAAAACAATAGAGGAGGAACAACGGAAGGGCAGTAAGCAGGCGAGCTCAAGGAGGGAGAACAGAATGGGGGAGACAGAATGCCAGCCAGCGCCCTCTAAGGCCTCCCAGTGCCCCACTGATCTGGCTTGTGGGCTCCTGATGCACACAGCAGAGATTTTCTGAGCCAGCATGCCAAGAATATGGTACCACACGGCTGGCTTTGCCTTTGTACCTTCCTGGACGCCATTTGGTTTCCCATGGGATGTCAATTCCCCTCCCTCTGTGCTTTGTTTTGTTTTGTTTTGTTTTATTTTGTTCTGTTATAGTTCAGACCAGTCTTAAACTCACTATGTGGCCCAAGCTGGCCTTAAACTCTTGGCCATCCTGCTGTCTCAGCCTCCCAAGTGCTGGGATTACACACATGTGCCACCATGCCCGGCTCTCCTCTGTGTCTGAACACCTTAGACAGCTCAGAGCTGCTCCCTACAAACATCACTCATACACCCTGTGACTGCATCTCCGTGTCACATCTTCCATTGTCCCAGGAGGATCCAAGACTGTCTGCTGGTCCCTCTACACCAGACATGCTGTACCCTCCCTACACCCCGCTTTCTTCCTTGCCTGGATCCCCTTCCATGTCGTGGCCGCTCCCGCCCCACCTCTGCCCAGCTTCACAGCCTGCTCTTGTGCAACATGACAGCTGAAACAGGACAGAGAAATTTCCCGA